AGTTTAGTCTTATGAAGTACATATATATTATTTTATAGATGTATTTTATAGACAAGGAAACTGAGACTCAAAGACATGATACCACTTGCTCATGGTGACACAGTTAGGAGGACGTGGAAGAGCTGGAGTCTGGATCCTGTGCTTTGACCCCTGTGCATAGAGCTTGCTATTCTGCTAGCCTCCTGCAGACCTTTCAGACATTGTGGAGGCCACAGAGAAATGGGGGACAGCTCCTCTGTTCTCTTCCAAAACTCGAAAATTCTGTGTAGGGCCACTGGCCACTATTGATCTGGAACAGTTATCGAGGCAGCATGTCCATGTAGCGTTTCTGCAGTCAGACATTTTCTCCAAGTGCATTAAATAAAGGATTCTACCTTCCCACCTGTGGGCTAACTGCCTGGCAGCAAGGAATGGGCTTGCTCATGTCCCTGGTCATTTTCCTTCTCACCTGAGCAGAGAGAGTAGGCCATGCATACAGGGGAAGCCTGTTGAGAGTCCCTCCCTGAGCCTGCTGCCACCTGTTCTAACCTGGCCTGCACATGAGGGTGCTCCTCATCTCCCCGAGGAGCCAGGGCCATGAGGAGAGGGCTCCTTTGAGAGGAGCTAGTGAAACGAGTGGAGAGAGTGGAGGTGAGAACCTGCTGGACTGAACATTCTTCCCAGGCCCAGATCTTGAAAGGACTGAGACTGTGTTCACAGCAAGCCATTAAAGAATCTTCTCAGTAGAATCAATGTGATCAGAATGTCTGTGTTTACCCATGGCAGTCTACAGATTTAACGTAATCCCTATCAAAATTTCAGTGGCATTTTTCGCAGAAGTAGAAAAAATCCTAAAATTCATATGGAACCATAATAGACACTGAATAACAAAATAGTCTTGAGCAAGACGAGCAAAGTTGGAGGCATACTGATTTTAAATTAGGGTGATAAGGAAACTAGTAATCAAAATAATGTGGTATCAGCATAAAAACAAACATACAATCCAATGGAACAGAATAGAAAGTTCAGAAATAAACTCATGCATGTGCAATCAACGAAATATTTGACAAAGGTGTCAAAAATACACAATGGGAGGAAGGAAAGTCCCTTCAATAATTGAGAATACTGGATATCCACACACAAAAAAAACCCCACATTAAATCCTGATCTTACGCCATACTCAAAAAATTAACTGAAAATGAATTAGAATTTTAAATTTAAAATCTGGAACCATAAAATTCCTAGGAGAAAACAGGGGAAATCTCCATGGCCTTGTTTTGACTATGATTTTTTGGACATGACACCAAAATCACAGGAAAAAAAAAAAACAAAACCAAAACCAAAGCAAGTGTGACTCCACCAAACTGGAAAGTTTTTATGCAAGAAATGAAGGGCAACTGGACTGAGAAAAAAATATTTGCAAACAATATATCCAAATGTGTTTAATATTCAAATATATATAAGGAACTTATATAATTCAATAGCAAAAGTGATTCAGTTAAAAAATGGGAAAGGACTTAAGTAAATGTTTTTCTAAGGAAAACAGCAGGTATATGAAGAGGCACTCGACATCACTAATCATCAGGGAAATGCAAACTGAAAGTACAGTGAGGTGTCACCTCATACCTGCTAGAGACTGTTATCTTTAAAACATCAAAAGCTAGGTTATGGGTTAGTGGTGGTGCATGCCTATAATCCCAGCAGCTCAGGAGGCTGCTGAGGCAGGAGGATTGCAAATTCAAAGCCAGCCGTAGCAATTTAGCAAGGCCCTAAGTAACACAGTAAGACCCTGTCTCTAAATGAAATACAAATAAAAGAGCTGGGGAGGTGGCTCAGTGGTTGAGTGTTCCTGGGTTTAATCCCCATACCCCCCCCCAAAAAAAAATCAAAAGCTAAATATTGAGGAGGAAAGAGGAAAGAGCACACATATACATTGTTGGTGGAAATGTAAATGAATACAGCCATCATGGAAAATAGGATTGAGTTTCCTCGAAAAATTAAAATTTCAACCTGTGATTTACAAATTCTGCTTCTAAGTATTTATCTAAAGGAAATAAAAATCACTGTCTTGATGCCATATCACTGTGGATACAGCCCAGTGGTGGAGCACTTGCCCAGCATTTGTGAGACTCTGGGTTCAATCCCAGCACTACCACAAAGAAAAACAAAACAAAACACTGAAGAGACACCTGCACTCCCATTTCACTGCAGTGTCACTCAAAATAATCAGAATGTGGAAACTACAACCTAAGTGTCCATCAACAGATGAACAGTCGTAGAAAATGTTGTTTTAAAAAAAGAAGGAAACCCTGCCATTTGTACCAACATGGATGGACATGGAGGGCATTATCCTAATGAAATAAGCTAGAAAGAGAAATACTGCATGATTTCATTTCTATATAGAATCTAAAGAAGACACTCATAGAAACAGAGGTAGAAGGGTAATTCCAGGGGCTGGGTAAGGGTGACATGGATGATAGTGATCAAAATGTTAAACTTGGGGCCAGGGTTGTGGCTCAGTGGTAGAGTGCTTGCCTAGCATGCCTGAGGCACTGGGTTTGA